TCCGACACAGACAGACAGAGAGACAGAGAGAGACAGAGAGAGACAGAGAGAGACAGAGAGAGAGAGAGAGAGAGAGAGAGAGAGAGAGAGAGAGGCGCAGGCGGTATTTATTCGACCGCTAACTGCTACCAGAACTGCTTCGGTGTGAAGCGGAGAACGGCGGCGAGGTTGGTCGCTCGCGGATCCACTTTTTGCCGGCGCTCCGGCACAAAACACTTAAGACCACGTCGAGTGCCTTTTAATCCTATTTGTCTTCCGCTGCGCTCCAGTAGTGCTGCAAGTCTGGAAGTGCGACTCTGGAAGTTGTCAGATCGAAGTAAATATTTTGCTTGCCCCCGAAAGGAGTTGAGTTGAATTCTAGGGGTAACTCCGGACGTTAATTCGCCGAAAAACAGGCTTCTTGCGTAATGGAGATAGGGATTCCACAGCGGGGACTCGCTTGATGACGTTAAAAGCGCTGCTTAAGCTATTTTCACTTCTTCTCTTTCTTCCTCCTCCTCCTCCTCCTCGGCTTCTTCCTCTCTTCTTCTCGCCGGTTATTCCCGGCGCATATTAGCGGTGCTAAAGGCGACCGAACAAATGTGCTCAGAATCCGACTCGGTCTGACACGGACTTGGCTCTCCATGAATCATTGAGCGCCGTCGACGGGGCGAGGAGCGCGCGCGGTTGAAATTAAGTCATCGATCGGGTTCTTCTTCTTCATTCGCATTTCCCCCGGTCAACCTTCGGCAGTCGTAGCGTCGCGTTGTTCCTTGTAACATCAGTGCGACGTCTCTTCCGTCTCAGACATCCTCATCGTTATTGCGGCTTCCATCAACAGCGATAAGTATTTCCCTCCGCGCGACGATTTAGATAAACTTCCGCGAATCTCTCCTATCGGCGGAAATTGTAGTCGCACCTGCCTCGCTCGTAAAACCTCCCTTAAGGACCCCGCCGAGCGGCGCCGTGCGTGCGCGATGAAGGGTCGACGACGAAGGGGCGCGACGTCGAAGTACCTTACGTTCGCCGCGCTATTGTCGGTCGGCCGGGATTCAATTCAACTGAAGCGAATTCCCGGTATCTCGAGGACTCTTCCCGCCGGCAGGACAAGGTGTTCGTGGATGCAAAGCCGTAAATCTCCCCGCGCTAATTGAAACGATGGCGGACGAAGGGAACGACCGTTCCGACGCAGAGAGTTCCGAAGGCGGCCCGTTTTCTCCACGCCGCGCGATCGTGACGAAGTCTTTTCTCACCTTCCCTCGCCTCCATTTTTCGCGTACTTTCTTCTCTCTCTCTCTCTCTCTCTCTCTCTCTCTCTCGTTTCCTTTTCCCCCGTTTTCTCCGACTGCTCTTGCATTCGAGGTCTCGCGGTAATGTGTATATTCATCAGAGTGCCACCAGCAACGCGCGCGCTTTCACGTTGCCGTGAAAAGGACGATAACGCTCGATTGTATGACCGTCGAATAAAGATGACAAGGGTGAAGCGAGACGAAGGGGCGGGAGGGGGTGAAGTTGCTGCGAAAAGAAGTCTCCGAGGGACATTAGTGCATTGTAGTTTCTCGTTTGGAGGAAGGGGGTGGGAGGGTCTCTCCGGGGGGGAATATTTTTTCGTTTCTGCGACGCGTCTGGAAAGATCGCGACGCGGCGCGGCGGCGAGACGCCTTGCGTTCTCTCATCTTTGCGGGCTTCCGGTGTTGCCCATCTGCAGAAATGAACGCTTCGATCGCCGTCGCTGTCGCCGTCGTCAGCGCAACACACACACACACACACACATACACACATACAAAAGGGACGGGGAAAAGGCCGCGGGGGGAGAGAAGCGTGGCTGAGGCTCACGGGGCCGGCCACGCGAGACACGTTGCACGCGGACGCGTGCCCTCCCGAGGAAAATCCACTCCGCCACGCTTTTATTTTCGTTCCTTCGAGAACGCCAGTCCACTTTCCCCTTCTTTCATTCGCGTCTCGAGTGCCACTATTCATTGGCGAGAGGTGACGGGCGGCGGGAGCGGCAGGCCGAAGGACTGCTCTCCAGCGTCAGCGAGCACCCTTGTGCAGCCTCGGGCGGAATACAATCATTTAGGACGCCGTGATTTCGGGGGATGCGCCAATCGCTTCGATTTCTCCGAAACACCGCCAAACTACTCCCGAGCTACCGCGATGCAACAATTCGAGCGTGTCCTTCGATTTCTGTCGGCAATCGTTTCCCTTTCTCTCTCTCTCTCTCTCTCTCTCTCTCTCTCTCTCGCTCTTTCTGTCCCTCTCGCTGCTTCGCTGCTGTAAGCTGCGAGCTTCTTCGCAAACGTGTTATTTCTTTTTTTCAAGGGCCTGCTTCCGCACGCGTTCAATTACTTTCCCGTCTCGGGAAAGTCACGCTTTTTACGACGCGATGCGCGCGCGGCGCGCAAGCCGCCACTTGTCCCGGATCGTAATTATCAGGCCGCGTAACGTATCGCGCCTCATTAAGCCCGCCGGCCGTAAAGTCGGCCCTAAGGAAACATGAAATTCTCGTCGGGACTACTTGTTGCTGCCGTAAAAAAATCATTTTCCCCGTAAGACGTAACAGCGTTTGTTTACGATATAGTCCTTAAACTTTAGTGCCTTTAGTTTAGGGCTGTGTGCTCTTGTACCCCGGCGATTCGCAGCAATTAGTTGCCGCGAGTTTGGCCCCTCGAGCGACGCTACGCGACGCGACGCGACGAGACGCTGCGAGACGACGGGCGTATCCGGCTCGTCAACGCTGAGCGCGCACGATCGACGGGCGAAAACGCCAGAGCGCGACCGTGCGTTGTTAATCGTCCTCTGCGCGCAGACCGCCGAATAATGGCCAACGTTCGCTATTTCATCGCCGATATTTCCTCCCGTCTCTTTTCCTCTTTTTCTACTCATTGCACCGAGCGCAACTCGTTGCGCAACGGTGGCCTAAAGGCATGCCGATTTAATTAATGCCATGATATTGCCGCGATGCGTGGCTGCAGCATAATAATTGTAATAATGGTAACATGTCACGATAATTGCAATTAGCGCGATCCCGGCTCTGTGTGCGCGCGTGCGTGCGCGCGCTTCATTGTCGGCATTAAATTCGCCATTTGTTGCTAAATTGAGAAACGAAACACGCCGTTTCGACTTTCGATTCCGCGTATCGCCGACGGCGCGGCATAACGTGTTAATCACGGCGAAATTGTTTAGAAATGCGCAGGACAGACAGAGAGAGAGAGAGAGAGAGAGAGAGAGAGAGAGAGAGAGAGAGAGAGAGAGAGAGCGAGAGATTTATCGATTATCGAGCGTCGCCACGCCGCGCTGACTATCGACGCGCGGACTAATCTTTGCGCGAGCGCGTTGCGTCGAATTACACGCATCGAAGTGTACAACTCGAGTGGGCTCTCACTCGACGGGCTCGCCATTTTCCCCTCATTGGCCGACGAGGTGGCACTTATTTAAAAGAGGAACGCGACCATCGGCGCGTGCAGTAACAACGCCCGGGCGCGAGCGTAACAACATGTTGAAGTCGCTGGCAGAAACTCTCCGTGGGTATTTATTTACAAGCCTGGTCTATAAGCGCACGGCTGCGGCACGGTTGCAGCATTCGAAGGGACCTCTCGACAACCGCCACTTAAGCGGAACGCCGGAGGGGCGGCTTCCTTCCCTCGTATTCAATTAGTGCCGCGCACGAAATATCAATTCCATCGGTGGAAAGCGCGCGCGCGCGAGAGAGAGAGAGAGAGAGAGAGCGCGCGCGCGTTCAGCGCATCGAGTGTAAATCCATAACAGAGGACGGAAGCTCCGTCGGGCGTTCTTCCCGCCCGGCGTCGAAACTGCCCCAAAATCAGGTTAAAAGTTGGCGTTGTTTTTCGTTCGATAATGCGCCTCGAGTGCGTTCCAAGATGCCCGGACCTTCGTTAAACACACATCTTGGCTGGGATGTGTGTGTACACACGCACACACACATACACGCACGCGTACACCCGCGCACGTTTAATTGAATGATCTAATTAGACACGCGGGGATGAAATTTAATTGCGTCCCGATGTAAAATCTAATGAATACGTTCGAGCAGCCGCACCGTAGATAGATAAATGTTAAAGTTACGAGCGGATCCTGAGAATCAGGTTGATTTATAACGGAACAGCCCCGCGGTGGCCCATGTTACTCCAAGATCAAACTCGGGCAAGATTAAACTGTCGTATGGTAATATCCAGTTTTAACTTGGAATCAACGATTAATAATAATGATAACAATTCGCGGTGCTCGCTTGCGCGCGCGCGCAGAACGATCTCGGAAAACACAGCAGAGACGGCCGCGCAAAACAATATTCCTGCGATCGCGATACAAGCGATATCGCAGAACCGCATTTCGACACGCGGATTAAACATTGCGGTTTACTTCATCGATGGTAACGTTAACCTAATTTCGCATGGGCGTTCGTACGAAAATAAACCTTCAATTGTACCGCGCGGTGGAGTACAGCGCGCCGCAGGAAGGTGCAAATAAATGCTGCGGCCTTTCAGAGGAATTAACGCTTCATTGATTCGATTTCACTCTGACACTCGCAACTCGCAAATTTTGCGCAATATATAATTGCGATATTTTTTCCTCTCCCTTTTCCTCACTTCTCTCTCTCTATCTCTCTCTCTCTCTCTCTCTCTCTCTCTCTCTCTCTCTCTCTCTCTCTCTCTCTCTCTCTCCTCTGTCCTTTTTTTTTCTTTTCCCGCAGCTCCCGCGCACCGCGCGCGCGATTTGCATCCGCAACGCGCGAAATAATTCTGCCCTGGCGATCTTACGGTTTATCGTATTCACCGCCTGAAATCCAATTAGAAAGTTACATTTTGTAGTCGGTAACGTGTTCCGCTCTCTCACACCCACCCCTTTAACTTGCATTTGTTTTGCGTTCAGCTTTAGGGCATATCTGCCTCATCCCTGTCCCTCCCCTCTGCCTGCTTTCTCTTAACGCACCCCTTCCGCGCGTTTCCCACGTATTTACCTTCTACATTAATAATCTCGTGCCTCTCTCGTTTGCGTTGCAGAATATGGACGTAGCCAAGGCCTCCGAGCGTCTTCTCAAGCTGGCGGTGAGTACACATATACACTAACATACACGTGCGCAAATTTATAAGCGCGTACCGGGTGTGTCCGAAATACACCGTCGGGGAATGCTGTCTAAGCCGATCATTCCTGAAACTTTGTCGCGGGGCCGGGGCATTCTAACGTTTCGGAGCTGCTTTTAGGCGTTTCTTAACGACGGCGGACGTGAACGTCACCGCGCGTATACACGGCACTCTCGACTGTATATTCTCACATGAGATATTTACAGGAGATACGTTTAATTAAATATCCAAATTATATTTTAAATATAAGGCGGCACACGCGCGCGGGATCGTCCCTCTCTCCTCTCATCGCGGGAGGGAAACATTGCGAGAGTGCGGAAATTACGACGGCCCGCAAAACGGGTGTTATCCCCCGTTATCTTAACGCGCTAAGCGACGAATTTAAGTTTGTTCTCATATTGATACTGTGTGTGTTCACACGGCCATATCTTATTTGCAAAACAGCATAGGTAGACACTTTCAAGTTCTTCGCGCTAGATTCTCGCCCTTTTTCTCCGGCGCACACACCTCTTACGAGAAAAGCCCCGAGGCAATATTTGCGAATTCAATCTCTCCCCTCCCACAACAAAACTCACTTCCCGCCTGAACTTTGCCGCTACTACGAGCTCGTTCGACAGCCAGAACGCGGGACAAAGAAAACTCGTATCGAACTACGTGTCGTCGATAAATGCCGCACTTAATACAACGCCCGCTGTAAATCCGTTTCGGCGCGCATAAGTCTACAAGCTGGCGCCGCCGCCAGCTTCGGCTCCCCCCTCCCCTCTTCCCTCCCTCCCAACCCTCGCGCGAGCATTTAGCGAGAGCATAATCCGAGATAGTTAAGATAGAATTTCAAGGTGGATTATGCGGAGTGTTCCGCGCTTTGTGATAAAGACTATTTAACGCGATTCAACTGTCTACGTCGCGCGGCTGCTGCTGCAAATTTTATACCCGTCCGTCTCTCCCTCCCTTCCCCTTTGTTTCTCCCTCTCTTCGCCCGCTGCTGGTCCACAAAATTTTTATTCGGTAAAACGAGAGACGTACAAGAGCCGGTTAACTTGGGCCCTTTCCGAGTTTAGATCTCTTTGTTTTACGTTAAGTTGGATCTGTTGCACGTTGGAAAATAAAGTAAGCTATCCACGGGAACGTGAAATAGAAATGTTGTGTTTCTTCAGGGGAGAGCGAGTCTCCGGGAGGGACGCGGAGAGGTGGGAGGAGCGCTCTGCGAGAGCTTCGGGCGCTCGCGGAAAGTACGGCGGAATCTATGAATTCCTGATTTAAGTTTCGCCGTGCGTCGTACGGCCGTATTCCCGTGACGCTTCCGGGTGAAATATGCACGCCCGGCGATGGAAAAAGGTCGTTTGTCGCCAAGTCCGCAGGGAGATCGATGCACGGCGATATGCCAAAGACGTTGTTTTGATACTTCCGATTCGCGTCTGTTTTTTTTTTCTCCCCCTCCCCCCTCCCTCTTCATCCTATGAAAGCAGTTGAGAAGAAAGTGGATCTCGAAATGCAGACGGCGAATCTGCTTAAGGGGGGGGGAGCATAATTCTTTCGGGTAATCGGATATAAAATGTCCCGACGGTCGTCGGCAGTTTCTTCGGCGAATATCAAGTCGTTTCTTCCTGCCTCCGTCAATCTTAATAACGTCGGCGTTTTTCGTCGCGAAAACAACCTGCACGCCTGAGGAATATTGGCTCGGCATTACCGACAGTTAATTTCTCCTTACGTACTCGACGATTATTTCTCCCCTTCCCCCCCCCCTCTCTCTCTCTCTTTTCCGCAGCTCAAACGTTTCAGATCGGTGGTTGTTGTAGTCGAGAGAACGTACGATCGCTCCGGAGCGCGCTGCGTATAACGCAAAATGAAAAAGAAAAAGAGAGAGAGAGAGAGAGAGAGAGAGAGAGAGCGAGACAATGAATCGATATGCACCAAAGATTCGCTCATGCGAGCGCTATAACGGCCGTCGTATCTTTTTATTCGCGTTCTCCTTGCATCGTATACGTCGATACGCTCTGTTACTCTTCGACGCCGGGATTCCGGTCCGAACGATCCCGCGCTCGTCCTCGTCCGCTGTTCGTCGCTCGTTATTCTCTCGTTAGCTCGGATGCTCCGGATCGGAACTAGCCGGCCGTGGTGTTCCGAGCGCCGGCCGGAGCCCAGTGAACCGAATTCAATTATACGAATTCGTCCCAAAGAGCGACTGTCCTCGGGACTCGCGCGTGCAGCGACAGCTCGCGAGCGCGCCGTGCGCGCGCGGGGGGCCCCGCGCGAACGTCGATTGTTGCGCGATTAAAACGACGACCGCCGTTCGTGCGTGAGAGCGAGAGCTTTGTTATGGCCAACTTTCGTCCCCCCTCCCCCCGCCCCTGCGCCCGTCGCGTTAATTGAGCCGACCCGCGCGCCGTTAATTATCGCGCCGCGCCGCGCCGCGCCCCCCTCGTCGATCCTCTCGCCGCCTCGCCGTCGTCGACTTTTACGCCGAGCCGAGCCCCGACTTTCACGCGGCCGATACGCGAGCACGGAACATTTAAATACGATTAAGCGCCGATGCGTGCACGTCCCGCGCTCCCAGCAGGAGCGGAGGCGGGGAGGGGGGAGGGGGGAAACGAAGGGTCACGGGGGTTTATTATACGGGGCGGCGCGCCACTTGGGCGCACGGCATAATCTGATACCGCGTACGTTGATTAATCCCTGGCGCGACTCGATCTCCACTGTCGCGTCGGTGGATCGAATACCGTATTCCGAATAGCGTTATTCCGAACACCGAAGACGGGAGGATCGAGTAGGGCGCGGGTCAGGCGCGGCAGGCGGGATAAATAGCCGGGCGCGATGAAAGAAGACCTCCGTCGCGAGGCTCGTTCGTGCGGTCGATGGAACGGCGCGCGGCGGTCGCCGTTTAAAGCGGAAGAGAATCACTCGAAGTGTTCTTTAATAACGCACGGTGGTGACGGGCGGAGGAGGAGGAGGAGGAGGAGGAGGAGGAGGAGGAGGAGGAGGGAGAAATTCCGTCCGGGGACGAACGTGCTCTCGCGCAGATGAGCTCGACGGCGAGGATCTCCCTCCAATAAGGCGAGGCGAAAGGCTGCTCATTCGTGGCCGGTCGCGACCTTCTCTCCTCTGTTTGTCCTCGCGCGCGCGGTGGAAAAATAATTGTTTGCCGATCCGGGCCAGGCTGCGAGACTTCGCCTGGCCGATCTTCGCGCAGCCTTACTCGTCGTTTACACCGCAAATAGCCGCGGGGCCACCGTGGGACCCGCGCCACTGTCGGGGGTTAATTGCGGTTCTTATGTACGAAGTCGCTCCTCCGGGGCGGAGGGGAGGAGAAGGGGTGCCGCTGAAGAAACCGAGCGCGGCACTGCAATGCGGGGGGAAGCGCGCGCGCGCGCGCGAAAGGGAGAAAGAGACTTTAATCTCGTCGTAATGGGAAAACGCAATTTTCCCGTAGTCCGCGTCACGGCCGAAGCTCGGCCCGAGCTACCCTCTTCCTCCCTTACTCGCCCACCCTCACCGCCCCGGCCGGCTTGATCTCGCCTTTCCCCCTCACGCCCGCGCTCTTGGCATGCGCGCGCGCGCATCACCTCCTCGTTTCGAAATCCCTTTGACTTGGAAAATCGCCGAAAGCGCAAGACGACCGGGCGCACGTCGTCGTCGTCGTCGTCGTCGTTGTCGTCAGCCGATCGTCTCGTCTCGCCGGCTTTATCTGTCGATCGAGCCGAGGCTAGCGACGGACGCGATCCAATTTTCGACGTGTTACTCGCGCCGATGCGAGAAGACACTCGCGCGCCGGTAAACACAGAATAACGCGGCCCGCGCCGAGCGAGCGCTGCCGCGCAACCGAGGCGGACTGTGCTCGCACATGTGTGTGTGTGTGTGTGTCCGTCCGAATTATTTCTGCCCGCGCACAGAAGGGGTCGATTCGACATTGACGCTCGTCGTCCGGTCGACGCATGTCGCACGTACGATCGCAACACCGAGCGGTCTTGCGCGCGGCAAGACTTCGATTATTCGACATTTGCATACTCATTCCTGAAATATAGCGCTCCGGTCCTCTCACACTCGCCGGCCAATAGCCGGCTCTCACCGGCTAAAGTTAAAAAATTCAATCTGCCTATATTTACATTCTTTATCCCGGCCGTTATTACTGGGTTATACCTTTCACATGTTAATGTCCTTCCAGACGTAGCGAGCGTAAACGTCTCCGATAGACGGCTGCTGCCGGTACACGCCGCGCGCACCCTCGGGACACGGAGAGCGGAACAGCGATCGGCGGCGCGGCGCAGCACGGAGGACTGGGCGGGGGGGGGGAGCGGGAGGGGAAGGGACGGGTGCGTCAGCGATCGAGAAGAAAATGGAAAATATCGATTAGAGCGCGACGTAATGCGATGCACACGGATCGGCCGAGGTTTGACTTACTACCACTCCGTCTCCCCCCCCCTCCCCCTTTCTACTTTCTCGTTTCTCCTTTTCGCGGCGACTACTAATGACGCGGATACGTCGAACCGCATCGAGAGAGAGAGAGAGAGAGAGAGAGAGAGAGAGAGAGAGAGAGAGAGAGAGAGAGAGAGAGAGAGACATATCGCGATACGCGTATGTGAAGAATGCCGCGCCTTCGTGATACGATATTCCTGCATTATCGATGAAAATCGATCGGCGGACGGCGCACGTGAGCCGAGCACGCATTAATGTTATGCGATCAGCGGGCTGGGATCAAGCACGAATCGCGGACGGTATCGTTGCTTTCTTGCGCGAGAGGATTGATGTTTCAGCCGTGCATCAATATGAATGAACGCTACCCTGTTCGCGCGCGGCTGTCTCATGGACAGCGCCTCCCTTTCGTCGGCCTCGACACCGGCGCCGCCGGCTCGTCCGTAAATCATATTAATCAACAATGTGACAAAGGAAACGAGAACACGTGTGTGTCCTCTGAGCGAGAAAGGAAGAATGCAAGAACGACGATGTATCTGTCTCGGCCGGGCTGACGAGACGCGCGAGCGCGCGTTGCGACAATTCGAGCCGCGGATGAGCCGGGAGGCCGGAAATCGACGTAAAATATTCGACGTGACAGTTTGGGGGATAAAAGTGCGGATAATATGCGAGGGGCACGAAGCACGCGGAACGTGAAGACGCATGCGTGTCAGAATGCGAGAGAGAGAGAGAGAGAGATCGTATATATGTATATCTGGAAATCGACATTTTTCAAGCTTCAAACTTTCCTACCAGCGGCGGAACGCCACGCACACACATCCTTTGGTCACGTTTGCTCGGTAAGATTTTACATCTCCCATATAACTCCTCGGGGAGAAGGCGCTTCCCTTTCAGGTAGCCTCTGGCCAAGGAGGCAGCTTAAAGTTTATCGCTCTTCCCTTTGTGGTATCGTCGACATGTCTCAAACGATTCACTGGCTTCTGCTCTGTCCCATCCCCCGTGTCTCTCTCTCTCTCTCTCTCTCTGTCTTCCTCTCTTTCTCTGCTGACCCCGCCGGTCCGCCTTCCTTTTTCTCCCTCGGTAGCATCCCCGGGTAAACGAAATTAAAACGCCGAGGTAAGTTTTCCCGGACTAGGTGGACGAAGCCGGAAGAGGCTGCTAGCTGCCGGAGGAAGTGCCGAAGGGCTCACCGTCCTTTTTTCGCGCAAGTGCCGTGGATGCCTTGCGGCGCAAGAGACTCGACCTTTGTGCCTAGCAACATTATTAAGTCCTTTGGCCCGCGCGTGAGAGGGAGAAAGCTCGTGGAAGCACGCGGATGATACCGCGACCGGGTGGTCCCGAAATGGCATCCGAAACGAAATAACTTCGAAATTCTTCGGCGTAGAGAAGCGAGCGGTCCTCCGAGAAATTTTCGCGAAAGTATTCGTCTGATGTTACGTCTCAAGCCCATACTTACTCCTTTTTTCTTCTTCCCTACTCGCTGCTCCTTTGACGCGAGAGCATTTATCTCGGTTGCTGCTCCGTCACGAGAGGATATTAACGTCGCGATAAAAAAAATGTATATATAAAACTCGGGTTCAAACAAGGTTTGAACAAGGAATGAAGAGCACAAAAGGGAGAGAGGCGAAATAATAACAATAATAATAATAATAATAATAATAATAGCGGCGATATGCAACTGTATTCACAGCGCAGCTTATTACCTTTTCCTCCGGCGCCTCGGTAGCGCCGGTAGAGAGAAGGATTATTAAGATAATACCGCCGCGATCAAATAAATAAGGACTTTTGACTTTAGCATTGGTATTATGTATGCGATAAATGATCAAAGACCCCGTCGTGTTACTTGCCTCCATTAAGGCGTAATTAAAGGAACAGCCGGGGTAATTTATAAGTTCGTTATACAGTCGTCTCACTTTCATCAGCAGGCGCGTAAATAATACTGCAATACGCTTGTCTCCGCGCGCTGATTATCCTCGTTTCAGTTAACTTTTTCCGCCGTCGTTACAGCGCATCGTATTTTATTCAGTCCATTAGCAACATGACGCATACTAAGAGAGAACAGGGGGGGGGAGGGGGTGAAGCAGCTTTGACGTTTTTCTTCTACTTTTCCATAATTGCGGCTCCTTTCTGTGCTGTTCGCATTTCGGCCGTGTCTCGTCGCCGCTTTCGCGTGTACTGTTCGCGAATTTTACGGAAAGTCGCTACGCAAATTCCTAATGAGACGCGGCGCAACACGGTGGGAACGGATCTAAAATTCATATTGTTCAACCGTTTTTCCGACATAAATACAAATTTCCGGATGTACGAGACATTGTCGCAAAGTTCGAACATCTCGACAAGCAGAGCTTGAAAATGAAACGTTTATTGAGAGAGAGAGAGAGAGAGAGAGAGAGAGAGAGAGAGAGAGAGAGAGAGAGAGAGAGAGAGAGAGAGAGAGAGAGAGAGAGAGAGAGAGAGAGAGAGAGCTTAGAAATGTGTCGTACTTCCGAAAAGTGGTTGATTGGGAATAATCAGATAATCTTTTTATGGACGGGATAGAAAGGAAAAATCGGAATTTCGATCGCCGCGAGAGTTATCTGCTTTCTGTCATTTCGCGTCGGAGAAAACTTACAACACGCTCTCCACAAATAAAAATAAACCGGGACCGGATCGTGAATGCAAGACAGAAATGGAATCGCGTTATTAATATACTATTGCGCCGCGATGCCGCTGAACTCATCCAAAATTCGTATTTCCTGCGACGAGTTTTATTGGTACGAGTTTCACTCGCACCGTCGAGATTTCGAACGAGTGTAATACTCGCGAGATAATCTGCTTTCACCGACTAGACCGATATATACAGTCACGTTTTTAGCGCGCGAGTTAACTTTTTTGCAACGACCCATATTTTCCCAACTCGATTACGAACGAGACACAATTAGCGTACCACCATAGCACGGATGATGCTCACGTGTAATCATCTATCCCCGTTGTTGCTGCAGATACCGAATCACCTAGTGTGGCTCTGCTTCTTCTATCTGGCATTTCACTCTTTCCTCAATCTGATGGGTGAGCTGCTGCACTTTGCGGATCGGAATTTCTACTGCGATTGGTGGAACGCCAACAATATCGACACGTTCTGGAGAACTTGGAACATGCCGGTGCATCGTTGGGCTGTACGGTGAGTATGCTGATTTTTACGTCAAACTCCCCCTCCCCCCTCCCTTCGATGTTGCCGCGATGACATACAGAATAAGAAATTTTACGATTTACGAACGCCCATAAGCGCACATCTGACTTTAATATTTAAATGAGGTAAATGAGATATTTCCGCGCGATTATATAATAACGCCGGGAATCAAGAGGGAGAAATTGATTTTACGCGGTAATTTCTACGAAACTGCTAAAATATCCAATAAACTTTTCGATAAAAAGGTAAGGTATAACTGTAACGCGGTTATGGAATATCACGCGCGTACACTCGATGCAATTATAATTATGAGACCGAAAATTGTTGAAACCAGACGGATACGTCGATGCATGTTTGATTCATGAAAATTTCTCCCGCCCCCCTTCTCGTAGACGACACACAGAGGCATCGGGCACCCGTGAAGAGTGTAATCAAATCCCCTCAAATTGAGACATGCTCGTTAACAAAGTTAGCCCCGGGTTAGGCGGGCAACAGAGAAAGTCGATCAAAGGTCCGGCTTGTAGCAAGACACGACGAACTCATCTTTTCCACTTCCTCGTCCGTTTCTCTCTCCCGTCTGTGTGCGCGCGCGCTCCCTCCCGCGCTGTTTACTCTCTCTCTCTCTCTCTCTCTCTCCTCCCTCCGTAATACTTAGCCTCTCGCGTACCTCTCGCGCCATAGAAGGAAAAACTCTTCCGGCGCTTTACTCTGCGCACTTTGCACCTTTGACACGGGGTGTTGTAGGGGTAACATGATTATATAATAATGCAATACACGTCTCTCGCCGAGGTTATTTCGTAGCTATGGCCGTCATTCCGACGCGCGCGGTGCCGTACACTAGTGTATCGTCGTCGTGTAACGCCGTGCCGTACCAATTACGTGCAAACATCAGATGGGGAAGGAAAATGACGCGCTCTCGTTGCCTGCTGCTCGCGATACTTCGCGCACGCGAATACCACGAATGCCGACAGATGCCACGGCCGTTGTCGCTGTTCTTTGAGGGGCCACAAAAATTCTATCAACCTGATAACTCTCTCTCTCTCTCGCCAGACTCTTCGTCAAATAAGGAGGTGTCTGCCTGAGCCGTCCGGATATTTTATGTCGCCGGTATATTTTACCGCTATATTTACGCACCGTACCTAAAGTGGTACGCCGAGAAAACGTTTTGTATAAATGACCATTTCGTTGGCGATTTCGACGAGCAAATCGTCAGGCGGCGCGTGTGGAAATTTCCGCGAACTGTCTGTCCGGGGAGGGGGGGGGAGGGGAGGAGGGGGGACGTGTATTATCGTGTGACAATACGCGAGCGACAACATTTCCTCTGACAAAAATAGGCTTCCACGCGAAAACCTTTTATTCCGCCTAAAATGTCTCTCTCAAGCCATACATCTCGGCTGTCGCCGCCACATTAGATTATATATCCCTCGCTCAATACAATCAGCGAACTTCCGAAAGACTTTTCCGGCGGGCCCTCCATCTTCCACGGTTACCCATCGCACGTGCACCTAACAACTCGAGCCCATAGTGACGACCTCCTTTCATGAGTCCGCGCCGGTTCTTTGTACTTGAGAAGTAGCCCAAAAGAAAGTTTAAATCCCCGTAAAAATGGCTGTACAAAGTTCTTATTATGTGACCGAGAGAAAAGGGTGCCATCAAAATTGCCATGCGCAAACTGCTCGGGGTTTACCATGAACGTCCCATAAAGATCCAATCTGCCGCCCCTCGTGTTGAGCATCAGATATTAAGCAGCGAATTGCCGCTGTACTTGTAAATATTTTACGCTTTTCTCCCCCGATATCACGCTGCGGCCGATGTTTGATGCGAGGCTGCTACGACGAAGACGATTAATCCGGCATTTCAGCTCCCCCATACATAACGTCGAGTATCATACAAACCAAGAATGAATATGAATATATATATATATATATATGTATGTATTGTATATATATGTGTGCATGTGTGTACGCGTAGGCAGGCAGTAAACAAAGCCGCACAACCGCGAAACTGTCTTATATAACACGTCCCCTTTATATATAAAGCGCGACACGTAGCACGAAAATGACTGGCCACGTTCCCTTTATAAATGATATAAAAACGAAGGAAAATGAGGCTCGCTAAAGAGACGCCGGGCGTCCGCGCGAGTTTCCGAGACGCGAATTTTTAAGTCTCACGCCGACGCGCTTGCGCTTCTTTTTACCTCGACGACGCACCTGTGCGCTTACGGTCGCTTCTAGCTTCTCTTTCCTTTCTTCCCCCTTGCCCCGCTATTTTTTTTCTTTGCGTCCCGACCGAGATACGCAGCTGCAATTGCAAGCTGCGACTGGCATATAGTCGCAGCGTGCGACGCAGGGGGGAGGGGGTCGAGGTGGAAATGGAAATGTCCCCCCCCACACGCAAGGGCGATGTAGAGGGCACGGAGGTTGTCGACGACGACGACGACGACGACGACGACGACGACGACGACGATGACGATGACGATGACGAAGACGACGATGATGACGACGACGACGACGACGACCAGGGCGACGATGAGGGCGACGACGAAGGCGTCTTTTCAGGTTTGTAATGGGAAAAGCCGATACGCATCGCGATGCGCACTTAAGGCTGTTTATTCCCCGCGGCACTTATAATACCTCTATAACTGGAGATATTCCCGGGCGCTTTGCGCAAAGGAGACGTTCGCTCTGGTTGGAGGGAAAGAAAGGGCGACGCGTTGTTCACAGGGGAGGGATCGGGTGCGGAGAGGAAGCCCTAAGAACGCGGTAAAACGCGCGTGGCCTGAAGTTCTCAGAACTGTCGTCGGCGACGGCGTCTCACCTTTGAATTTTCTTCCTTCCTTCCACCTCCGTCACCCCTTCTCCTCCTCCTCCTCCTCCTCCTCCTCCTCCTCCTCCTCCTCCTCCTCCTCCTCCTCCTCCTTCTTCTCTTCCTGCTCTTCCCGGTGCGCTTTTTCCGTTCTCCTCCTCCTCCTTCCTTTCTCTCTCTCTCTCTCTCTCTCTCTCTCTCTTGGAGAATCCTTTGGAGCGTTTTCCTTTCTTTCTGATGCGGTCGCACCGATAACCAGACGACTAACGATTCTTTCCCGTGTTGTCCGTTTCTGGCCGCCTACGCGCCTCTGCCAACAAGCGAGAGAACAGCGACGGCAGAACGTAGCCATTCCGGCGAAACTTTGCCCGAATATCGCTGGAATTTTTTGGAGCAGTTTCGCGCGTTCCAACATTACCGTCGCGTCCCTTATCAGCTTTATCGGGCCGACAGCTTCCGCGTGTATTCTGCGGTACAGTCGGCGTCTAAGAGAACGGAAACTGTAGAAATGCGTGTTCCTTTGTGACGCCGATAATAGCATTGTCGGCATAATAGAGGAACGTGCACTAAATGCACTCCCGTGAGCCGTTGCCAGGCTTAGAGCCTTTAATCGATTGAGCTATTTCGAGCGTTTTCTATCGGGGCTCGAGTGTGTGCGATTTAGCCGAAATTCCCTGGCCAGCCGGTAATCGTCACTGAGAGGCGGAAAGAATCGGAGACAATTCGCACGTGGTCGAGGATGCGAAAGAAAAAGAGAAGAAAAAACCAAAGTCCTTCTTCCTCCCTTCCTTTCCGCTTCCGCCGTCGGCCGAGTGTCCACGAGTGCAGAGTCTCTCCCAGAGTATATCACATCTCTCGCGAGCGATGTGTCTTATGGAAAACGTATTGCGTTTCGTGTTACAGGCATCTTTATATTCCGATTGTCGAGATGGGCTATAGTAAGACCACAGCGTCGGTGACCGTCTTCTTTATCAGCGCTTTCTTCCACGAGTACCTTGTAAGCGTGCCTTTAAAGACATTCAAGATATGGGCGTTCATGGGTATGATGGGACAGGTAAGAGACTTTCGCGTGTTTATTCCACGCGTTTATCGTTGACTGTAACTGCGAGCGTAACGTCGAGATATCGTCCTTGTCGGGTTCTCACGGATCTACGGACGCAGCGCGTCTTAAAAACTCGATGAAAAGAAACGAAAAAAAAAAAAAAAGAAAGAAAACTGCCGCGTCTCAATGCTGAAAAGTAGTGTGGAGTTCGGTGAAATTAAAATGCTCTCGCCGGAAAAGTAATTTTTTTGGTTAAAGAACAGAATACGAGAAGTGTGTTTCATAATCTTCGATTGATATTCTTCGCGCAATCGGCGCGGAAATCCCGGGATTTCGGCTGCTGTGTGATACTTGCGAAATTCGTCAAATGCTTCACATTACGTGTGTATATCGCGTTACGCACTGCGTAATACATTTTGTACGCACGCGCAAAATATTTCGCTCGCTCGCTCGCGAGTGCGGAGATTCCGGTCGTGCAGCGTTAATTGTTCATTACAGATACCACTGTCGGTGCTGAGCAAGATGGCCGAACGATACTTGGGCGCCAGATACGGCAACATCGTCGTGTGGGCGAGCCTCATCATCGGCCAACCACTTTGCATAATGATGTATTACCACGATTACGTTGTGACTCATTTCGGTGAGTCTCTGATCGAGGACTACTCCGTGGTGTAAGCGACGCAATGAGACAGAACGGAGAAAGTTCCGGGGAAAAAGAAGACCTCCAAAGAGATACACTCGCGATCGTTCTCACCCCTTCTGCCCCCATCCTTCTCTCTCTCCCTCTCTCTCTCTCTCTCTCTCTCTCTCTCTCTCTCTTCCTTTTGTTTCGTTTCTTTTCGTTTTGTTTGTTCGTTTTTTCTTTTTTTTTTTGCTCAATTTTCTTCGATATTGCGTTTGTTGATTGCGAAATACATACAGCTTCCCGTGCAAATATCTTCCGCATTCTAAAGCCGTCGCGCCCTCGTTTCATCATTGCGCGATAAACTACACCTGTGGGAATATTCGATACTGTGCATGTGCCTTAAAATGTAACTTCCCGCTGGATGGAACGTTGAAAGCCGCTATAGCACAATGCGAGTCCAAACGCGGTGAAACGAGGCGAACAAATTGATGGGAATCATTCAAAAATACGATTACGTTTCACTAAAATCTGTACATACATGTGTATACCAATTGCACTAGTGTAACTGCGAAATCTAATAATTTTTATACGATAACTTTTTAACAGTGCTTCCTCGCCACACACGAGCGAACTTGTTGTTGAATAAACAGAATATTTTGTATTGAGTATTGTTTCATTTCGTCCTGCACCACACTCGAAAAGGACCGCGTGTTCACTCGCGTGATATCCTCTCAACTGGAAACTCGAGGGCGATCTCATGAATCGTCGGAAAAACAACTTTTTTTAACAGCAAGACCCTGTACGTTTTTCCCCGCCAATGAGGCGGAAATCATATCGTCGAGAGCAACCTCCCTCTCTCTCTCTCTCTTTCTCTTTTTTTCTTTCTTCTTCAGGCGCACGCACCGCCATCGAACGGCGAAAAATAATCACCATGAACCTTTATCGTAAATCCACGAGAACCGGATTGGGGGCAAAGTATTATGCGAGACATACACACACACACACACACGCACGCACACACACACTTGGAACTTCCGATAAATTTTATTCAGAAGTATTCCCGCCATTCTTCTTAAATTTTTCTCTGCATTTTTCAAAATTCCCCTCCGCTCGAAAAACCGGACGGTGATTTATCTCCCGGCGCGACGTGCCGACCATTAATCTCTGTAATTTCTTTAATCAACGGTTAAATCTTCCCGCCTTTTTACTTAATAGTCCTGCGCTAACCATTTTATAACCGTCGGTAAAGGTAAAATAAAAAAGATGTCCAGGTAAACACAGCGCGGTGTAGGGGGGCCGGGTTAGGTTAGGTTACCTGCGGGTTAAGCCCGCGTCAAATCCACGTCGGGGTAGTTAGGGTCACGTCACGAACGAGAAGAAACCGAGCCCTCGAAAGAAACACTTCTTCTTCCAGCCCTCACACTTGGGTTTTTCTCCTCCTGATGAGCCTGGATAGCGTGATACGTGTATGTCCCGGCGATGGATAAATTAATGATGCCGGGGACGGCTCGGAAATACTCGGAATGATAGATACAAGGTGCTCGCGCAAAAAAACTGCACGGTCGATAGTAATGCTGCGCTTTCGAAAGCGCTCGCGGAGTCAATCGCTCGGCAGCGAGAGCACGCGAAATATCTGAAACGATCTCGCCGGATCCAGCACTGACGCGCGCGCGCGCGCGCGCGAGAGAGAGAGAGAGAGAGAGAGAGCGGCACACGCTCCGCGCTATCTTTAATATTACACCGAGATGTGTATCTTCATCTCCCGCTCTTCTAAGCTATTAAGTAGATAAGAGTTTTATGGACACCCTACAAGGCAAGGCGAATGCGATGCGTGTCGACCTTACTTAGGATCGCAATCTTCCAGAGCGACGGCATGTGTCGTCTAAGCGTCTCAGTGTACGTCGTCTCGTCGTAAAAGCGAGTTCGACGTGGCAATGGTCGTCGCGCAACGTTATCACGCGTTGTAGTTCCATTAACACAGAGAGATTAGTTGCGTCAGGGTCTCGAGGGAAGAAGCGTTCACTTTGAGAGGAAATCGATCACGAAATCGAGAGACCAGCGATCGCTCGAAACGATCTGAGCCAGCTGAGTGAGAGAGAATGAGAGAGAGAGAGAGAGAGAGAGAGAGACGCGAAACGGAAACACCGAGAATCGTCTCTCGCTCATGTGCGAAAATGGACAAAGCGCATTGGCAGGAGAGAGGGAGGGAGGAAGGGGGAGGACAAACCAGAGGTATGTAACAGTCGCATTTTCTCGCTGGCGAATACAGCCGACGATGTCAGTTGCGACGCTCAACAAGTTAAGTCTTATCAGCTCGCCGCTTTGGCTTTAGCGTCATTATAACGCGCGCTCGCGCGCGTCTCCTAAATTGGCATTTGCGCCTGACGTGGTAAATAACTTTGTTAACGCCAAAACTCCTCAAGCACGGCCACTCTTTTGTCCCCCCCCCCTCCCCCCTCCACCTGACAGCCGCATTGTTCCGTATAAACTGATACGCGAGTCCCGCTGAGCGCGGCGTAAGAGCAAAAATTACTTCTCCTGAATACGTGGGACTTTTAATTTAATTGCTTCCACGGGGCGAAGCGCGCGGCCGCGCTCTTAAATTGACCCTATAAAAATGATGAAAAAGGAACAAAGGGGCCGGGAGCCGCGCGCGAATATCTCACGGGCCGTTTCTGAGGCACGTGGCTGACGTGTACCGCGTTACAATACCGGCGGAAGCGCTTTATGACGAACGGCTCGGCCATTTAGCCGGGACGAAGCGTGAAATTCACAAGTACCAGCCGCGCCGCGCCGCGCCGCGCCGCGCGCTCGTGTTAATTTGGCCGAGTGTCGGCTAGATACACAACAATACCAAGAAAACTCCTCGCCGCCGTCTTCCCAGGTCGCGGGCCAGCGTCGACGCTCGCGCTCAACGTTTCCGACGCGAGTAAAAACGCGCGACTCGATATTCATCGTACGCGCGGCTTCCTCGACCTCGAGAGGAGACGCGCGCAAAGATTCGACACCGTCCACGTAAGTATCCATCACGCACTTCTCTCGGACGTGTCGTCTCCACTGCGATGAAACGACGACGATAAATTGTCACGTCGCGGCAACGTATGGCGAGAGAGAGACAGAGAGAGAGAGAGAGAGAGAGAGAGAGAGAGAGAGAGAGAGAGAGAGAGGGAGAGAAAGAGAGAGGGAGAGAGAGATCGTATTTTTTCCCGTCTCTAATGCAATCGCAAACAGGGGATCGAGCGACTGGGAGAGCACGGAGCACCCCATTCCGTCGTTCTCTCTACCTGGAGGCCGCCGCCGCCGCCGCCGCCGCCGCCGCCGCCGCCGCCGTCGCCGCCGCCGCCGCCGCCGCGACCGTCGCGCCAGGCGACGAAGCATCACCGAAGAATGCATCGGTCGGTCCCCCTCGAACGAGCGCTCGCGCGTTATCCCCTAAGATGGGCCGCGGGGGTTGGAGCTCGCCAGCGGAGGGTAGGAAGGGAGGGGGGACAGGAGGACGAGAGGGGAAGGTTGCGAAGCGGCGGCGGAGAAGGGATGCCTGGGGGTGGCGGAGGTAGCGCGGTGGACTAGGAAGGTGGAAGGGTGGTCAGGAGGCACAGGGGGTGCAGTGTGAGCGCAACACGATGCTATAAGGGCGGGTACGCGGCGTAGCCTCCGCAGTGAGCGTCGTGACGCCTCCGCAGGAGTGTCGCGCGTCGCCCGCACGACGGTCGGTGATCGCGCGCCGGTGCACGAGGTGCGTCCCGTTCTCTCTCTCCCCGCGTTCTGTCTCTCATCGCGAATTACGCGAGCTGGTGTGCAGTGCCGGAGGAGAGAGTTGTTTCGCGAGTACACGTCGAGAGAGAGAGAGAGAGAGAAAGAGCCCGCCACCGCCGGAAGAGAGGAGAGAAAGCACGGCGGCGCAGGCCGGTGTGCCGCAGCGTGGAAGCCGCAGCTGCAACCGCGTTTCGATCCGCCGGGAAGAGCTCTCTTCTCTCTCCTCTCTCGCTCTGGATGACCCAGGACGGACTCCGCGCGCTCTGGAGCAACCAGGTTGGTTTTTACGGGATCCCGGAAAGCGCGAGAGACTGGAGAGACGGGAAATGCAGGGCCGCTCGCGCGCGCGCGCGCGCGCTCGGAGAGAGAGAGAGAGAGCGAGAGGGCGGAAAGCGAGCGAGCGAGCGAGAGCGAGAGCGAGTCACGAAGTCTGTCCTTTGGTATATGCGCGACTCTCTCGTCGGGAAATCTCGTCGCGGTGCGCTGAATAATTGCTGGCGCGGATGCAACATGCGTAATTTACGTTCCATTCAATTTAAATGTGACACTGTAGATCGCGTCGCGCGCGCGCGCGCGCGGAACGTGAGGGATGAAACGAAGCGGAGACGACGCTCGCTATTACAGTGGCAATGCTCGCTTAAGACGCGTTCGTTTTATTCATCTTTGGAAATATCCGCCGAGAAACTTTTGTTCCGCGCTCCTCGCTCCGCGACGAGACTCCACGGCGACGCTTCGTCTATGAAATTCACGCACGCTCTTAGCGCTCAGATTAGCGCGATATTACGTCTCGCGAGGAGAACGTCATTCGTGAGCGCGAGCGCGAGCGCGAGAGCTCGGAGAGATGTGCGACTGGACGGATTAGAAGTCCTACGGCGGATTTCATTAGGAGCGCGAGCGCGAGTGCGAAGCGAGCGAGAGCCTTGAGAGAGGCGAATGACACGCGCGACACGCGAATCTCGCTAAAATTCTCGCCGAAAGATACAATCGTGGAGTCTCGAGCAGGGAAAGGAGTTGGGGAGAATGGATGGCTCGCCTGACGAGCTGCGGCTGATTCGCTGGTGTATATCGTAAACGTATGCAGTTAGTCGAGTAAATTCGATTCCCCCGCCGATGTTTACACGGGAGAGTGACGAGTATTCGAGTAAATCGAGCCGCGGACGGTTAATGAAAGCCGGATATCCGAGAGCGTCGTCCTCGACGAGCGGACGTACAATGGGTACTTTTTGCCGGCGCTCTTAGATACGACGACGTCGTACCGTTTCTCGTCCGATTTCAATTACGTGACGTTGCGTCACGATGGCGCTTCGTTAAACGATCGTAGTAAAAAATATATCTCTAATTAAATATGCATCGAGCCCAGCCACCCAGCCGCGCCGCTGCGTCGGACCGTCGCAAATTTCGTCCTTTCTTTATAGCCGTGCTATATTGCGCGCGCTTTTTACACGACGCGCAGCTCACCTCTCGTCGTTTTACAGACGCGGCGGATTAATTTTCAGTCGTTCGCCCGCGCTAGCGCGAGCGAGCGGTCCACTCGATCGTGTAATGAGCCGACAATGCGCCACGAGAATACCTACTACTGGTATTGAATCATCCCGAAAGCGCGCGCGCGCGCGCGCGCGCGGCGCCGAAATATCTACGTCGATATATTCTTCATAAATATTCGATCGGAATTTTCGCCGATACGTATCTCATTTCGAAATGGAAATCTTTCACTCGGAAGTAATCACTCGGCAGCCTTTTTATTAAGTTTCCATCGCTCAAGTCATCCCCGCTCACAAACGGTGCAAATGGATTTCATGCTTGGCGTAACTTTTATTAATCCGCCGGCTTTGTTGAGACATCATTGTTACGCGTAATACAATTTATTCTATTAATAGCTACCGTGCTCTGTGCGCGTTCGAGCGC